ATCCTGAAGAAACGCCGCGGGGTTTTGCGGCCGGGCTCCGAATTCTGCTAAGGCAGGGGCTGAAAACAATCCAGAGGCGAGCGGAACAACAAAAATCCCAGGCCTAGGTCACTTTTTGTTTCAGCCGTGTGTGTGTATAGAGAGAGAGAATATATATATGTGTGTGTGTGTGTGTGTGTGTGGAGAGAGAGAGTGTGTGTCTATATATATATATATATGTCAATTTGTTTCAGCAATACTGTACATATATATATATATATACACACAGTAAGTATATATATATATATATATATATATGCGCAGTATGAATGTATGAGTGTGTGTGTGTGTGTGTGTGTATGTATGGCTGAAACAATATACCGTATATAGCTGAAACAAAAAGTAACCTAGGCCTGGAGCCTCGGGTTGCGAACGTGATCTGCGCAAGAGGCACGCTCGCAACCCGCAGTGTTCGCAACCCGCAGCACCACATCTGTGCACGTGCAGGTTGTGATCCGGCGCTTGTGCACATGCACGAGCACTGAAACCTGGAAGTAACCCGTTCTGGTACTTCTGGGTTTGGTGCGCAACCAGAAATTGCGTAACCTGAAGCGTCTGTAACCTGAGGTACCACTGTATTACATACGCTTCAGGTTACATACGCTTCAGGTTACAGACTCCGCTAACGCAGAAATAGTGCTTCAGGTTAGGAACTTTGCTTCAGGATGAGAACAGAAATCGTGCTCCGGCAGCGCGGCAGCAGCAGGAGGCCCCATTAGCTAAAGTGGTGCTTCAGGTTAAAAATAGTTTCAGGTTAAGTATGGACCTCCAGAATGAATTAAGTACTTAACCCGAGGTACCACTGTGTGTGTGTTTGTGTCTATCTATCTATCTATACACATACACTGTATACACACACACACACACAGAGAACAGTATTTTAATCCTACAGCTATATATAAATATATATATATATATAGGTGTGGGATTAAAATACTTTCTCCAGAAAAGTAGCAGTGTATGAGTATGTGTGTATTACATATTATATAATATACCTATAATATATGCACATATCAGTCCTCTTTTTTGGGGGTACGCAGGGGTACGCATACCGCTAAACATTTTGTGAATCTTAAGTTTGGCCTCATTGAGGGGCAGTATTTCAATGAGTAGGAAAATGACAGTACCCCTAAACATTTTTAAAAGAAAAAAGCACTGTATATAATAGAATATGTAATATACACACACACACACTGCTGTTTTTCTAGAGAAAGAGGTGCTGGAACTCACCATGAACACCTCGTTCTCTTATAATGGCAATGGTGCCCACCTGAAAGGGGCTGGAACTGGTTTCTGGCAATATATGTGTGTTGCACCATCTTCCTCAGGAGGTTGTAGACTCTTTCTTTGGAGCTTTTAAAGCAGAGTTTGGATGGCCATATGTCATAGATGCTTTAGTTGAGATTTTGGCATTGCAGGGGGCTGGCTGGACTGGATGACCCTTGAGGTGCCTTCCAACTCTACAATTCTATGATTCTACATGTAAATAGGTGGAACATATGCAGCCCACCCAGTCTTCTCAGAATCAGTTGCCTCTGTGTTGAATAATATTTATTCCCAGCTCCTGCCAACCTAGCAGTTCGGAAAGCACGTCAAAGTGCAAGTAGATAAATAGGTACCGTTCCGGCAGGAAGGTAAATGGCGTTTCTGTGTGTTGCTCTGGTTCACCAGAAGTGGCTTAGTCATGCTGGCCACATGATCCGGAAGCTGTACGCCGGCTCCCTCGGCCAGTAAAGCGAGGTGAGCGCCACAACCCCAGAGTCAGTCACAACTGGACCTAATGGTCAGGGGTCCCTTTACCTTAAGGACACATTGGTTTGCAACCCTGATCTCACATTCACAAGAGTGGGATTGTTCTGATTGCAAAAGCATTGCAAATAACCGATTTTTGCAGGAAGGCATTTGGCAATTTAAGGTAGGCTCCTCTGCTGGACGGGGGTCTCTGGGGGGACGCAGGTGGCACTGTGGGTTAAACCACAGAGCCTAGGACTTGCCGATCAGAAGGTCAGCAGTTCGAATCCCCACGACGGGGTGAGCTCCCGTTGCTCAGTCCCTGCTCCTGCCAACCTAGCAGTTCGAAAGCACGTCAAAGTGCAAGTAGATAAATAGGTACCGCTCCGGTGGGAAGGTAAACGGCGTTTCCGTGCGCTGCTCTGGTTCGCAGAAGCAGCTTAGTCATGCTGGCCACATGAGCCGGAAGCTGTACACCGGCTCCCTCGGCCAATAAAGCGAGATGAGCGCCACAACCCCAGAGCCGGCCATGACTGGACCTAATGGTCAGGGGTCCCTTTACCTTTACCTCTGCTGGAAGCAGTATGAACTCCGCCCTGTTGAAAGAATGTGTTAAAATGTGCAGTGCCCCGTGTTCGCTGGCCAAGATCATCACAGTTCTGTGTGTTGGTGTCCATGTGTGCAGAACTTACAATAAAAATTCAAGTAGTAAGATGTGCTAGTTAGGACACTTAGCCAATTTACTCCAACACCAAACTACTCTTACAGCTGACAAGGAGCCATTTAGGCGGCAGTGCTCAGTGTTGCTTTCAGTTGCCCCCACAAAATTTCGGCCGAGAAAGGGCCAATTTACAGACAAGCAGGTTGGGAAGCAAAGCACTTCAGGAATAAATTGACTAGGTTAATTTGGCATTGGCTTCCTTGGAAGTTTTCAAGAAAAATCTGGACAGCCAGCATGCTTTCAGGAGATGGCATGCTTCACGACAAAGACTATTCATAGTTTATTCAGTGAGTTTTGTCCAACCTTGATGCACGACCAATTCTTTTATATTTCTGGGATTTGCAAAAGGTACCCGTGAAGAAACCTATAGCGGCTTGGGCCAGCACAACCCAACAATATATTCAGCTGACACAGGAACCTAGAAGCTTCCACAGTCCAGACTTATCAGTTCTCTGTGCTTGCATAGTTTCTTTGACCAGGACCTCTCTAACGATACTTGAGTTCAGATTCTTTCTTTTTAAAAGTTTCTTATTGATACATTTCATTAGTTTTACAACCCATTTAACATTTCAAAATTTGACTTCCTTCCCCCTCTTTCTGCGGCTCCTTAAATTTATTTTTAAAATATCTTCTGCATATCCAAATCCATTTAACTTGCTCATTTAATTATCAACTTTAAATATATACTCTTATAAAACTGCAGGTTGTTACAATAATCCTGCTAATGTTTTCACCTGTTTACAATTTATCCTTTTTTCCTCACTGCCTTCAGTGTTAGCCCCAGGGGGAAGCTTTCCAAAGGGAAGGCATTTGGATCCTGCTCCCACTCATTTTCCGAGTCTTGCAATTGTCTTTTTTTAAAAAAAAAAAAATTATTTATGGTTTTCAGGTTTATACATTTCAATAATTTAAATCCTGCCAATGTTCTTATCTGTTTACAATTTGTCCGTAAATGTTCCATAAACCATTTCCATTCTTTTATAACAAAGTTTGTTATCTTGATTTCTTATTTTTCTGGTAAGTTTCGCCATTTCTGCACATTCCATATGTTTTTGTATCCATTCTTCCTTTATTGGGACTTTTGCTTCTTTCCATTTGGGGGCAAGGAACATTCTTGCTGCTGTAGTCGCATACATGAAGAAATTTCCATACAATTTAGGTAGTTCTATCCCTGTAATACAAGGGACGCGGGTGGTGCTGTGGGTTAAACCACAGAGCCTAGGGCTTGCTGATCAGAAGGTCGGCGGTTCGAATCCCTGCAACGGGGTGAGCTCCCGTTGCCCTGCTCTTGGTATCAATATACCATTTTTGATGGTGTGTGCCTTTTCCCACAAGGGAGCCGCAGAAAGAATGTAGTTGGTCAAGGGAGCCGTGGACTCAAAAAGGTTGAAAACCTCTTAAGTAAGTGATGTGTGACAGCTCATTAGTCAGTCATTGAGTCTTGTGAAGTGAGTTGGGAGTTTGTGCTATGTCTTTGAATTGCTGGAGCAACAGAAAAAACTTTCTACTTGCATATATCTGTATCTGCAAAGACTACAAGCTGTATGTATATAATCAGCGTCCGGAACTGTATTAGTGAAGCCTGATCTTCTGCAGCAGTAAACGATTTAGGACCTTAAGCTGCCTCTGTTTGGTGACTGGAACTAGCGGCAACTTCCGCTAGGTGGGTATCTCCTCTCAGAAAGAGGGGTAGCTAGATTTCTGGGAGTGATCAGAGTCCTTAAAAACAATGTATCACAAATATACTGACACCAGTGGCCTTCAGTCTGTGAAAACCAAATCCAGTTATGTGTTGGTTGGCACCCTTGAGATCCCTTGCCACTTGGGAGTGTGGTTTGCATGCAACAATATATTAGAAATATGCAAGTTGTCGGTTTGGGATGGACAGGTGGAGAAGCCTCTTGTTACTCAGAAATAAGCACACAACTTGCATGGCTGAAGTTCATTTTTTATTTAAATAACACTTTAAAAAGAAAAAAACCTACAAAATTTTACAAGGCATATATATATATATATATTATTTACATATAAATATAAACATACTATGTCTTAAACTAATGATGCAGATAAATCTGAGGCACAAACTGCATCAAAAATAGTAGATCATACATCTGAGTTCGGTCTCGTTCCTATTTTATTCCAGTAACAACTGAAATAGTTCTCAATTCTCTAAATAGTCCTGCCTGCTAACTCAGCCAAGACGTGGCTTATGAGAAGCATTAGGAATCTATTCAATACAACAGCCTTTGTGCACAAGGTGTGGACCATAAAATCTCTGGAAGCCCCTCAGTCTTTCCAGCTTTGGGAGTACAGTCATTTCAATTCCTTCAGATTACTAGATGCCATTACGAAATCCTACGCCTTGCAGAAGAATCCATATCTAAGCCAACTCAGCCGCGAGCCCAGCTAAGTTGAATCTTACTTACTTCCATGTGAGTGCACACAGGACTGCAGCCTCAATTTGTTTGCCTTTTTATTTTTCTTCTGTTAGTCACAAAGAGGGACAAAAGCTTTGCAAGACACTCTGAAGTACACCTAAGGTTTCATCTCAAGCAGTGGCTGCATATTTTCAAGTCTATCTTTTTGCAGGCCACAAACTAGAAACTAACAAAGCAAGGTTCTGCCACACAGCATACTCCACTTCTAGTACCTAAGTTTCTAATTTCTGCAGAAATTGCGGTACATGCACAGTCCTCATTCCAAAAACATATGAATGCTTTTTTTCTGCCCTCTTTTCTCAAATGCATAAGAAAGCCAAACATGCGAACAGTGCTCATCTTCCTCCTAGTGGATTTAATTTGTTTTATAGTTGCGTAACATTTTAAAGTGATGCATCCATCTTCCTCCAATTCACATCACATTTGAAAGATTACAAGAAAGGCATTCAAAAGAACAACTTGCAATCCAATCCCACCCCTGGTTGTAGCCGCAACAAAGGTTATAGCGTCTTTCCACGCGAGGCAAGGAGGACAACCCTAGATGGTTCTGCTCTCTTTGTTTCTCAAAATCTCTCCTACCTATTAGCAATACGATCAGCCTACTGATTCTCACAATAGGGGCTTCCTGCCTTGCTTTGAGAGAATGTTTAGGGACTCGCCTATTCAAAGACGGAGGTGGCTGAATTGGAGATGCAACATTTCTGGAAATTTTGAGGCCCTGGGCGAAAGCAGAAATGGAAGAAATGTGGAATGAAACATACACGATACTTTCCTATCAAACCCAAACTTACTTTACTGCTTTAACAAGATAAAATGTGTCATTTAGGATGTAGTTGGCATCTAAAATGGTACTGCTTGACACATTTATAAAATTCGAACAGCAATCCTATGCACGTTAACTCAAAAGGAAGACCCATTCTTTGAGCGGAGCTTACTCCCAGGTACGCAGCCTCAAAAGTATAAATAGCTTACAGTGCAATCCTACATGATATAGTTCTACTGAGGAGTAAGCCCCACTGAGTTCAATGAGTTGTAGTATCGCCAAGCTAGAACAAGGGTTGCCAGATATGTCAAGCAGCAATTCACAAGGAACCCAAGGCCCAAGTGCTCCTCTCGTGTAGATGGCAACAGCCTCTAGACACAACTTCAGCACAACAGAACTCTGCCCACCTGTGATTTCTAGCAACAGGTATTCAGAAGTATGCTGCCTCCAACAATGGACGTAGAAGACAGCCATTGACTACCGGGCACCTGGCTTCTGATAACGCCAAAGCTAAGTTTGGATAAATCTGAAAAGCTTTATACAATTAGTTTTCTGCTTTTCACTGCAACCGTTGTACCATTTGCAAGGCAACGCTTCTGCACAATGCATGCCACTTATTAGGAACAAATACACAAAGGATTGTGTCCACTGTTCCCTGTTGAACCACACAGATTGGCAGGTGGAACTTTGGAGAGGCTAAATCTAGTATGTTATGGGTAGTTCCTGTTCTGGGGGATTCTATCCTTCTCATTTTGAAAAGTTATGGGTCTCAACAATCAAGGAACTTCACCAAATGAGGCAAGTTTCCAACACGAGTATCACTTCTACGAGTGGGAATTAAAGTCCCCCTCATGTGTACGGATCTGTTTCGTTACACAGTATGTTCACATAACATAAAGCACTGGATAGGGATGGGATTTTCTTAAAATCTCAATATCAAGTTTATGTGCACAGATTCCCCCCCCCTTCTAAATTTCATCTTGCTCTTTAATCTTGATGGGGTTAGGTTCCCCCACCCCTGCACCCGTCTTGCTAAAAATGCCAACAATTCTTGCCCATTATATGCATTATTATATGTATATTCACTCCAGATTTCCTAAGGCAAGCAGCACATAAACAAGTACATACAATGATGCATATAACCATATGAAATACATATGCATTAATTTACTTGTAAAATTATAAGTATACTGAAGCATAGAGATTGATGCTTTTATGTACATCATACTTTGATATACCTTTTTTGGGGCATATTATTAGTTGGGCTTGGCTTGGGCGTAAGTGGGTGCTCAAGGCAAGAGGCAGTCCAAGACGAGCAAAACTGAATGGGGTTGGAACTGCCCAAATCAGTGTATAAAACCATTCAAATACATTCCTCCATTCTTAGCGCTGAGTGGTGTGGGTTTCTACAGTGCAAATTGGCCAGCAGACCTATGCACTTTCATGTGTGATGGGGCACAGGTATGTGGAATTTCTTACATGGAAGTAATAAAAGGCATTGTTAGGTTTCCTATTTGTACAGTCGCAAAAACTTAACCTGCATACGATCTCTCAGCAGTAGTAAGAAATCCTTACAAGTGAGCCCACAAGTTATTAGCCTATGCATAGTTCTACTAAACTCTCTGCCTACACATACCTCTATCAATCACTTGTGTCATTACTGAGAACCTCAAAAGGAAAAAAAGAAAGAAAAAACACCCCAGTTCTTTAAATTCCCTTGCCTGGGTGAAATTTGTATTCATCACAGGTGACAAGGCTACTGACAATTAACACCTGCCTTAATGCTATTTGACATCTTTGCATACAAATGCTTGAAATTTGTACTCCACTTCCTATTTTGTTTTTAAAATGGTAAACCTGAGTTACATCTACCCCAGAGACAGCTTTTGCTTTATCTTACTGGGGTACGCAGCCTTTCCTAACAGCAAGAATCATACTGGAGTACACCAAAATCACAGGGCGTCAGCACGTTAAGAGCACAGGTCACTGAATTAAGACTGGTATATTCACATCCATTAAAAAACTTTCAAAAAGATATACACAACATACACAATTTATACATAAGTAAACAGAGTATAAGCCTTGCTTCAGGAATATTTGTTGTCCCCTTCACCTTCACCTTCAAATGCCACTTACAGCTGTGTCCTGTGAGCAGGCTTCTATACTTGCATCATTCTTACTCCTCAGGAGATTTACATCTTCACGTATTTGCAACAGAAAACCAATGGAGAAACCTCATTCTAATCATCACTGTCACTTCCAGATTCACTCAACTGCAAGTCATTTCCTGTATTTAAAAAGAGGAAGTTAGAATTACTCGTTGGCTGTGATCTACATTGAAGAATTGCTGTATTTGACCTCAAATACACTGGGGAGAAAAATAGGGCGTTAAGCTGAAACACACTAGTTCTAGATCATAAATATATTTATTTTAATGAAATTTATGTACAGGACTGCCACTGTCGTTGACCTCTGCTCAGCATTCACTGGCTTAAGATTCACTAGGAGTCTGGAGGTGGCAGTGACTCATCTGCCCTGCAAACTGGTATCTTTCAATCTACTTGCCGATTGGCTTCATGTAGCGTTTAACATTTAAAAAAGAATAAGCTCATTTGTCTCATCGCAGACTTGGCCCAGCAGATGACAGACTGGAACAGCAGCACCCATTTTCTGCAGCAACTGCTGGCACCAGTTTCACTCACAGCTGGAAGAATTTAGACCGAGTCTGCTTTATGTTCATATGAGGCCAAGTTGTGAAATCATATCACTATTTGCAGAGAGGGGCCATGAAATCTATGTTGATTCTTAGTTATTATTAAGCATTTCCTTATTTATTTGTTTAAAGCAGCACTTGGGTACCATAAAAGAGGCAGGAAGTAGTCTGATTATTTCTATCCACTCACACCCCTAACATGCAGCTCAGTAAAGTGTATAGGTTGCCAGGGGACTTCTGAACGAAGCCTCTTTACAACGTGAATGAATGAAACAGAAACAAACCTGATTTTGTTAAAACCCAAAGACCTCCATCTATGTAGATCATGCTTGACCCCTTGCTGAATGATCTGCATTCAATTGTGGGCTAAATACAGACCCATACATGTTAACTGAACCAGACACCATGTTTTATTTAAAAAACAGAAATGCTAGCTTCAGGAGAGAGCAATTTAAAAAGAAAGAAGGAAATTATGAGAAAGGAAAGGGCTGGGTACCACATCCCCTTCTCAAAGCTGCTTTTAAAAGCCAGCACTGCGTCTCAGTTACACACCTGTGTGTCTAATGTGTATTTAGACCCATAGAATGTGCATGCGCTGTAATAAATACATGCAGAAGACAAGAAACTTACTGAGCGTGCTCATGAGCTGATTGCTTCCTTGTGGCCTGCTGGTTCCGTTGGCAACAGAGTTCTTGTTGTTACCTGGCTGGGAAGGGGAAGGGTGTGCAGCGTCATCCCCATCGCTGCTCGAGGTTTCATCATCGCTCCCAGAAGAGCTCTCTGAATCCGATGAGCTGCTTCCGCTGCTGCTACTCATCTGCTCAATTATTTCAACCTCGGCTCTCAACTCTGGAACGAAGGGATGTTTGCGAGGAGGTCAATAAACGATTCCACAGGCCGTCGACACAGACAGGAGAACGAAACCATAGCAGAACATTGAGATCTGCCCCCCAAAATCTAAAAGCATCTTAGATGTTGTGAAGATCTTGGTGCAGAATGTGGCTGCCAGCATTTTGCCTTGCACCGAAGGACTTGCACATGTCACAACCATTATTTCAGCAGTACGTTTGCTGCCTATTTGCTTCCAGGCCCAATTTTAGATGTTTATCTTACCTTTAAGCCCTTAAGAACCAAATACCTGAGGGAGTGCCTCTTCCCATATCAGGCAGCTCCTGTCTGAAGATTTTCTGTAAAGGCCTTTCTCCAAATACTGACTTTAGCAGAGATATGGTATGAGTTAACAAAGGGCCTTTTCTGTGGTGACTCCCTGACTCTGGAATGCCCTCCCTAAACAGACATAGCATTTTTTTCAGCACAATAATGCTAGCTGTTTCCTGTTTGCCCATGCACTTTTGATGACATGTATACTCAGAAGTCCAAGTGAACTGCATGAGGCATACTCTCAGGTAAGAGAGGCTAAGACCATTTGGATCCCTTCCAGTCGGGATTCATGGGATTGAAACTGCCTTGGTCACACTGGTTGATGATCTCCGGCAGGCTAGGGACAAAGGTGAGAGCTGTTTCCTAGTTCTGCTGGATCTCTTAGCGGATTTTGATACCATTGACCATAACATCCTTCTGGACCGTCTAGAGGCGGTGGGAGATGGGGGCACTGTTATACAGTGGTTCCACTCCTTCCTCCTGGGCTGTGTCAGAAAGTGTGTGTGTGGGGGGGGGGAATGAGTGTTCAGACCCCTGGGCTCTCACTTATCGGGTGCCTCAGGGTTCTGTCCTCTCCCCCATGCTTTTCAACATCTACACGCAGCTGCTGGGAGAGATCATCAGGGGGTTTGGGCTGGGTGTTCATCAGTATGCAGATGATACCCAGCTCTACCTCTCTTTCAAATCAGAACCAGTGAAGGTCCTGTGTGTCTGGAGGCGGTTGGAGGATGGATGGCGGCTAACAGATTGAGGTTGAATCCTGACAAGACAGAAGTACTGTTTTTGGGGGACAGGAGGTGGGCAGGTGTGGAGAACTCCCTGGTCCTGAATGGGGTAACTGTGCCCCTGAAGGAGCAGGTGCACAGCCTGGGAGTCATTTTGGACTCACAGCTGTCCATGGAGGTGCAGGTCAATTCTGTGTCCAGGGCAGCTGTTTACTAGCTCCATCTGGTACGTGGGCTGAGTCCCTATCTGCCTGCGGACTGTCTCACCAGAGTGGTGCATGCTCTAGTTATCTCTCGCTTGGATTACTGCAATGCACTCTATGGGGGGCTACCTTTGAACTGACCCGGTGACTGGGAGCAGCTGCCAAGGCCACATAACATCGGTCTTGAAAGACCTACATTGGCTCCCAGTACGTTTCCGAGCACAATTCAAAGTGTTGGTGCTGCCCTTTAAAGCCCTAAACGGCCTCGGCCCAGTATACCTGAAGGAGCGTCTCCACTCCCATCGTTCTGCCCAGACACTGAGGTCCAGCACTGAGGGCCTTCTGGCGGTTGCCTCACTGCGAGAAGCAAAGTTACAGGGAACCAGGCAGAGGGCCTTCTCAGCAGTGGCACCCGCCCTGTGGAACACCCTCCCATCAGATGTCAAAGAGAAGAACAACTACAAGACTTTTAGAAGACATCGGAAGGCAGCCCTGTTTAGGGAAGCTTTTAATGTTTAACAGACCACTGTATTTTAATATTTTGTTGGAAGCCGCCCAGAGTGGCTAGGTGAAACCCAGCCAGATGGGCGGGGTATAAATAATAAAATTATTATTACTACTATTATTATAAGATTGCTGCCTTTAGGATTACTGCCTTAGTCATAATGTTTAATTAACCTGCTTGTGCTGTAAATTGTTTATACAAATCCTTCCTTCCTCCCCCGTTAAACCCCTCTCCTGCATTGGTTAGCCAGCGCTTCTCCGCATGCAGGAGAAAACATGCAGGTGCGAGAGAAGAGAGAGGGGGGGGGCTGGCTTGGGTGGGTGGGGGAAAACTTTTTGCCTTCCTTTCCTCCCTCCCGTTAAACCCCTCTCCTGCATTGTTAGCCAGCTGCTTCTCCGCACACCCCTCTCGTGCTCCTTGTCCCCTTCTGTGTTTTTCCTTCCCTCCCCACTTAAAACGTGGTTACAAAGCATGGATCCACATGAATCCTCAGGATCTTTGCACTGGGTCACCCCAAATTCACCATCAGATCACAGAGCATGTCCATGGCTACAGCCTGCACCAAAAAAATCACGCACCCACTGTTGCCTGGGGCCACAATGGTGCAAAAACATGGTTACAAAGCACAGATCCACATGGATTCTCAGGATTTTTGCATTGGGCTACCCCAAACTCACTGTCAAATCACATGTCTGTGGCCACAGCATGAAGCACAAAAATGATACATCCACTGTTTCATTCAGAATTTTTTTTCTTGTTTTCCTCCTCTAAAAACTATGTGCGTGTTATGGTCAGGTGCGTGTTATCGAGCGAAAAATACGTATATTAGAAAAGAAATGTATTACACATGATAGCTCTTTCCCTTCATTGCAAAAGGATGGACAAAGCAAGTATTTCAAGTCACATTCTACGGGATTCTAACAGATCTGTCGTCTACTTACCTAATTGTTTTACTCTGACAAATACTCCAGTGTATCAGGGAATTTGAATTCTTATGTAATGGGGAGTCTAAAATAGGATTATATGCTTTTTCCACTGTCTGCAGTTCAAATAAGAGTGAACTGCATTTTGTTTTGCTCTGAGCACTTAAACTGGCTTACTAAGAAGGGCTTGTCTTTGGAAATGCCAATTGACCCGAAATACTAATGAGACTTAGATTTTACCATGGCCCAGCCACTAGTTTCACACTGACAATATTTGTTCCTAGATAGGCAAATATGTAACAGAAGCTTCATTGCGCAGATAGATATTTTGGGTGAAACCAATACAATAAATTAGCATTTTTATTTGTTGTTTTTAAACCTCTGAAATATAGGTGATATATCATGACAACAGCATTAAATTTTATTTGGAAGGCTAATATTTAGGGGCAAACATACAGCGATCATTTTATTGTCAATATTCTACCAAGCTTTTGAGTTTTGCAAGACTTTTTATACCTTCTTTCAGACACAACTGAAGTTCAGTGCCTTTTTCAACTTTTTGCAGAATTAACTTTACACGAAGCGTATTTTAAAAAGGTAGATGATCATTTTTAAACCAGTGCAGAACATGTAACCCAATTATTCTCTTGACAAATAGAAGAGAAATCACTGGACCCACATTCATCTACTTTATGCAAGGACTTCAAAGTTCTGTAGACTAAGAAATGCAACTTTGGCCTCCCCACTTTGGAGCGGGGCACCCTGCCGTCAATTTTTAGCTGAAAAGAAATTGCTGCGGTAAGGTCTACTGTGGGTGCTGTCACATTATTCAGAGTGAGAAACAAATCAATTTCCACAAATCTGACAAAAATGGGACACAAAGAATAAGGAAAACTGGATTCATAGCAAATCCATTGAGAATTATCAAGTATTTATACCGTGAAGTTACGAAACCATCATGATTTCCATACCTCTCTTAATGTCATCCAGCTGAGGCTCTGGGGAAGGATTGTCTTTCAGTGGGGAGGTCTTGGGACCCGCTGCTGGTTTTGTAGGAGCTCTGAACTGGGTAGAAGAAGGTTGTGAAGCTCGGGCCGATTGCTGTTCTATCCGGGCCTGGATTTTGCTGCTGCCTTCAGCTCTGAAACAGGATTTTGGACACACAGATACAATAACACCTCAAACACAACACCTATGCATCTTCTCAACTCCCTCTCCCCCCGCATCCTTTCCAAAATGTCTGAAAAACCCCAAATTCTATCAGGATTGTGTAAAATTAGTAACTGTACAATCTAAGCAAATTTAAGATCTGTATATATGTCAGCACTTTCAGGGAGAGAATGAGATGTAAGCACTTGCTCAAATCTACCAAGGAAATAAATGGTCCTTTAAAAAGTGAAGAAACAAAAACACTGTCCAGATGTAACATTTGCCTCTAGTAATTTCTAAAGCCCCCCCCCCCCAATCTACAGAATGGACCAAATTCAAATATGCAGCAATAGCAAATGACATGGCTCTTTTTTAGACTGTACCACTTTGAGGATTGTATATATCACAGGTTGGCAACTTGCAGCCCACACTTCATTTTTTTTAAATTAACTTAAGAAAATTATACAGACAGCAAAACGAATAAGCCTAAATTCACATTGCCTTCTACCGATAAGAAATAATAATAACTATTACAATAATAAAAATACTAAAAATACATTTACTTCCCCTTTTGAACTTCTATTCTTGTTACAATATATTATTATTCTATAAGAATCTATTATATCCTTTGCTGTCCCATATATTAGTTTATTTTCCAAATTCTACGTAACCCTCCCCTCCTCCTCACTGCTTCCCTTCACCTGTGTGAGATCTTCCTATCATAACATTTTTTCTAGTTGCTTTAATAAAATAGAATAACATGAAAACTGTTAAATTATAATGACTTCTTTTGTCCTTGCACGCTTAACAATTGCCTATTAAGAGTTCTGCTTTAACACCATATTTCTTCATGTATTCCCCATGCATTCCCATTCTGTATAGAATTTTTGATTGGAGCAGCTCCTGATTGCTGCAGTCATTTTTGCCATCTCGGCAAACTCACAAATCTTAACTTGCATTCTGTCATTTGTGGTACTTTTTCTGTTCTCCAAGATTTTGCCATAAGTATTCTTGCGGCTGCGGTTATATACAAAAATATATTCCTTTTCTCCTTGGGTATGTTGTTTGTTAGGACGCGGGTGCCGCTGTGGGTTAAACCACAGAGCCTAGGGCTTGCCGATCAGAAGGTCGGCGGTTTGAATCCCCGCGACGAGGTGAGCTCCCGTTGTTCGGTCCCTGCTCCTGCCAACCTAGCAGTTCGAAAGCACGTCAAAGTGCAAGTAGATAAATAGGTACCGCTCCGGCGGGAAGGTAAACGCCGTTTCCGTGCGCTGCTCTGGTTCGCCAGAAGCGGCTTAGTCATGCTGGCCACATGACCCGGAAGCTGTATGCCAGCTCCATCGGCCAGTAAAGCAAGATGAGTGCCGCAACCCCAGAGTCGGTCACGACTGGACCTACTGGTCAGGGGTCCCTTTACCTTTACCTCTTTATGTTGTTTGTTAATAAACTCAAATATGACACTGGGTTTTTTTAAAAATAGAGCTCCAGCCCATACTTTATTTTCTGTAGCCCTCAACACCTGAAGCTGATCATTTCCAGTATGTGATCAGAATTCCTCCCTCCCTATTCTTTTCTTGGCTTTTGAAGTGTGCTCCCTACCTCCTACAGTATTTCATTTCAGAACAAAGCTGCAGTTTTTTTTAATTGATTAGTAAAAACTGATTTAAAAAAAAAAAACCATTTTCCCTGATTGTACGCCTTGGGGAAAATAGCTTTTTCCACGGCTGTCTATTAATTGGTAGGCTTCTGCCATGTGTGTGTGTCACACTAAAGTAAGAAAGGAATTACTTTCATTTGTTTTCCAGAACAGTACAGTGGTACCTCGAGTTACATACGCCTCAGGTTACATACGCTTCAGGTTAAACACTCTGCTAACCCAGAAATAGTGCTTCAGGTTAAGTACTTTGCTTCAGGATGAGAACAGAAATCGTGCTCCGGCGGTGCGGCGGCAGCAGGAGGCCCCATTAGCTAAAGTGGTGCTTCAGGTTAAGAACAGTTTCAGGTTAAGAACGGACCTCCGGAACGAATTAAGTTCTTAACCCGAGGTACCTTTGTAACTGCATTGGGTCTCATATGGACTATACATTTAAAGCAGTATCATACCACTTCAAAGTCAAGGCTTTCCTCAAAGAATCCTAGTTTGTTAAAGAGTGTTGACAGAGGTAGACCCCTATTCCTCTCACACAGCTACAGTTCCCAGAGTGGTTTAACAGTCAATCGATCTTCCCAGGAAACCCTTGAGAGCTGTACCTCCGTGAGGAGAACAGGGGTCTCCTAACAACTCAGAGAATTGATACTTTTGAATTATGGTGCTGGAGGAGACTCCTGAGAGTCCCATGGACTGCAAGAAGATCAAACCTCTCCATTCTGAAGGAAATCAGCCCTGAGTGCTCACTGGAACGACAGATCCTGAAGCTGAGGCTCCAATACTTGGGCCACCTCATGAGAAGAGAAGACTCCCTGGAAAAGACCCTGATGTTGGGAAAGGTGGAGGGCACAAGGAGAAGGAGACGACAGAGGACGAGATGGTTGGATAGTGTTCTCGAAGCTACCAGCATGAGTTTGACCAAACTGCGGGAGGCAGTGGAAGACAGGAGGGCCTGGCGTGCTCTGGTCCATGGGCTCACGAAGTGTTGGACATGACTAAACGACTAAACAACAACAACTCGGAGCACCCTTAACAAACTGCCTACCTCTAGAGCAGAGGAATATTTTCCAGATTTAAAATTTCCTTCTACATGTCAGAAACCAGGGTTCTTGCCTTCTGAGATGCTGGTGTTCCATTTTATTTATATATGCATTTAATTTATATACCACTGAATAACAAACAAGCACCACGTATATATTGTAATATATACTCATCAAAATATTATGTTAAAAAAAGAAAAGAAATCATAGCCAAGGGTTTGAAATATGCCACCTGCAGTGTGAGATAGGGCTATGCTGTGTGTTGTTTTCTCCAAATTAGAAGCGGCCCTGTGGGTTCGTGCCAACTGTTTTTACCTTGTCTTCTTGACCTGAATGCTGCTGCTTAGCTTTTCAAGCACATATTCCCCAGTATCGTGATTGATAATAAGTACGCAGTCCTTCTGGTATGGTCTTTTATTTCCTTTGAACACCGTCATTGGAGGAGTAGAACCCTGGTCGTCAAGAAAAGCAGAGATTACACTGAAGTCCGAACAAGTGCACACGCTCATGCCAAGAAAAACTGACTCCTTAACTAAAATGCCACATCTAGTTACTCATCTTCAAGGCTGCAGTTGGATGCTTTAATAGGCTACCTCTGAATATGTGGTCACTGAACTGCACTCCAACAGTTTGCCTTTATAGATGTAAGGGAAAAACAAATGCCTGCATATTTAACATCTCCCTCTTTATGCTTCTTTGCAAAATGTACAGTCTTGCAGATTTTTTGTTTTAGGCTTCAGGATACTTCTTGGTAGTTCAATAAGGAGTCAAAGAGAAAATAGAGCTCTACCAATGCCTATAGGTAGAACTATCACCTGAAGAATTTAATATATAAGATCAGTATATCCTTTATATCCAGTGGTGATCTGCATTTTCAAAGGCAATGACCTAAGCACATACAGTGGTACCTCGGGTTACATACGCTTCAGGTTACAGACTAACCCAGAAATATTACCTTGGGTTAAGAACTTTGCTTCAGGATGGGAACAGAAATCATGCCACGGCGGCGCAGCGGCAGCAGGAGGCCTCATTAGCTAAAGTGGTGCTTCAGGTTAAGAACAGTTTTAGGTTAAGAACAGACCTCCAGAACGAATTAAGTTCTTAACCCGAGGTACCATTGTATATGTAAAAGAACATTCTATAAAACTCAGTCAGAAGAGACTTTCAAATGCAGGTTCCAGGCATACACTGAAGTTTACCTAGAACTGAAATAATAAGCATAGGCTATGAAAGAAGGGGTCCACAATTGTAGAACTAAAATCTACATAGAAAGAGGCTACCTGAGGAGGGGAGGGAGATAGAAACACACACACAATTTTAGAATAGATATATACTCACATCCCAGACACACTACATTATTGGTGTTAGATAAGGCAACACAGAACAGGTAAAGCTCGCATGTTCTATTAAATCACCACTAGCTGTTACCAGGTTATTTTGAAAAAGGCATACAGTCTTCTTCTTGGCCACAAATTTAATAGTTCAGAGCAAAAAAAGTAATAGTTCAGAGCTGGGGGAAGGAGGAGAAAAAATGGGACACACAGTAAACTTACTGGGATGTGTGGTAATGTAATTGTGACTTCGTCTCCTTTGCCAACTTGAAGCTCCCCTTCACAAGATGTATCAATAGATGCTGGTTTGAAGTCATCTAGAGAGAACAATAGTAAGTATTAAATATCTATTGGGCTTTAAAGGTTTCCTGATTAACATCCATCTGGGACAAATTCACTCCCTCTTTGCTATTACTGATGAAATGTATTATTGTGGTGGATATAAAGGGAATAAGGGAACCGTGAAGGTTAGCTTAAAAGCTTTAGAAAACCCCAACAGTTACTGCATCAGAATATTTTATTTTGTTAAAAGCTTCCCCCCCCAGTCATTTCGCATAATCTACAAAGCTCCCTTTTGCTGGTGCCCCAAAAACTTTTAACTCTCCACCCACCCAGCAGCAAATAATCATGCTGTAACACACTTTTAAATAAACCTTCCAAACTTCAAAAGTAGCTTTTCAAGCGTCCTGTCTGCTGTTAAAGAAATAAAATAGCCTTGGCTGTTTTATAGTCCCTGCCTCTTGTCTCTTTCAACAGTAATGCGATATGCTAGGAAGCTACAATTAATTTATTCACGTCAAAAAAGTACTGTAACAGAACCAGTAAAAAAAAGTGGGGGAATAGCACTACCTACTTACTTTGGGCGACCAACAAGTGGTCCCAACCAAGCAGGCAAATTACAACCTGCTGCATGTTTCACGGCTGGAAAAAGATGTATCCATTATCAATCTCTGCATTATTTTGGAAACGCTGTTAAAAACCTGCTAGCAAGATTCCTCTGGCTAAGAAAAATAGTATTTTTTAACTGACAAAGGCGCTGTGCTTTTTAACATCTGCTTGTAGGGTTCCCAACTTAAATAAAAGGCAAAGGCCTGGCCTGTACCTCTAACACAGCTTGATGTGCAGAAAACATCAGCTGAAGCATTTCACGGTATGGAAAAAACGCGATGCCCTGATCTTTGCAACCTACTGTTAACAGCAGAAAGAGTTGGCAACCCCTGGTTGCTCACTGTGCCTCCTATTAAGGACACATACCCTATTGTCTGCAGAAATAGCTGGCAACCCTCCCAAGCATTCATCATGGGGCACAGAGGAGAGTAAATAGGCTTTGACCACAGGCAATTGGCCCAATCCGAATCTGTCCCCGATTGTGCACAGAAAGGGTTGCCAGCTTCTTAACTTGCTCCTGTCTCGGCCCATTTAACAACTGTTTGATTCCATAGCAATTACTCAGGGATTGTGTTCAGTTCCAGGACATAGGAAGCTTTCCCTCCTGATGTCTGCATCTCAAGCTCTGAAGGAACAGTTATAGGAAGGGTTTGTGTTCTAGCCATGCTATGGCCAACAAACAATATGTGTAAAAAGAGTAAGAAAGACAGTTAACTCTGCCCCCAGCAAGAAGTAGGGACTACCAGTTTGTTGCCCCTGTGACCATGGGCGTAACCAGGATATATGTTTTGGGGGGACAGGACACCCACCTGTCATCAACTTCTGTCTAACTTTGTCTAGCAGTGTTTCCGCAAATTGGGTCTCCAGTAGTTTTTGGACTACAACTCCCATTATCCCTAGCTAGCAGGACCAGTGGTCAGGGATGGTGGGAATTGTAGTTCAAAAACAGCAGGAGACCCAAGTTTGGAAAACACTAGTCTAGCAGCTTTGGAACGAAATGTCTCAACAACAGTTGTTGCAAATCACTTTCTTTTGACCCCATGTGCTCTAAGAAAAAGCTGTCAAAATCCCTCTACAATTCCTACTTTTAGTTAAGTGTTTTTATTTATTTCCTGGATGCCTGTGACCCTAACACACACACATACAGAAATTTAGCAGGCGAGTATTTCTCCTGCAACTGCAGCTCCTTAATACTAATAATAATTTTATTGTTTATACTTTGACCATCTGGCTGGGTTTCCCCAGTCACTCTGGGCGGCTTACAGCATATATAGTAAAACATAGTAAAACATCAAACATTAAAAACTTCCAGATACAGGGCTGCCTTCAGATGTCTTCTAAAAGTTATGTAGTTCCTTATGGAGAAAACCTTCTTTTGATGCTTTTCTGGCTGAGCAGCTGCTCTTAAGGGCACAGGAAGACCCGGACCAGTTAAGAAACAGAACAGAAATACTGACAACTGAAAACAGGGAGATGGAGGAGGAGATGTTGGGATTGTTTTTCTGAGCTCCCAAAACCACTTATGTGCATCTGCCGCTGCTATACTGAGAAGGTACCCCACCCAATCGGGGATTTTAATGGTTGTATGTACTGACGACCCACCAAATTAGTGGAGTTGTGTTGTTGACCCCCCAAATCTCAGGGATTATTTAATTGTGCTTTACACACTACTATACTAGGACACTATTTCAACTACTGACCACCACCTTGGTAACGTCTCCGCTTCTGTGTCAAGGAAACACTATCGACCTGTCTAGAAGACACTGAGCACCTTTTGGGGAAGTTTCAAGAATGGATGTTCTATACATTTTAGATATGTTGCAAGCCTCCCAGATGGCTGGGAAGCGAATGATAATAACAAAATTAGCAGCTGTTTAGCTTATACATAAATCAGCACTGAGTTATACCGGCCTATACCCTCGTACCCTCAGCCCCCTCCACAATTGGGGTTGTCCCCCCCTCCTTAATTAACAGTGTAATCTCACTGTACACAAGTTGTACAAATGACAATAAAGTATTTCAAATTACGTTTTTATTGTAATTTTATTGGTGTTAGCAGCCCTGAGCCCGGCTCTGGCCATGGAGGGCGGAGTATCAATAAAAAAATTATTATTATTATTATTATTATTATTATTATTATTATTATTAAGCCATTTGCACATGTTGCTATGCAACCAGTCCATGCAGAATGTGGGGACCCTATATATAGAAATGAGCAAACCAATGATGTTTTAGGGAGCAGGCGGCGCTCATTACTTACATCATAGGAGAATACCCAACACAAAACACTGTTGCTGTATAGAGGTTTTATCTTATATTTTGGAAATGTACATCCAGGGTGTTTTTTCCCTTTAATTTTTTGGGGGCCCGCAAGAGAGTGGGGCCCCAAGCTGCAGCTTGTTTAGCTTATACATAAATCCAGCACTGAGTATACCGGCCTATACCCTCGACCCTCAGCCCCCTCCACAATTGGGTTGTTCCCCCCCCCTTAATTAGCAGTGTAATCTCACTGTACACAAGTTGTACAAGTGACAATAAAGTATTTCAAATTATGTTTTTATTGTAATTTTATTGGTGTTAGCAGCCCTGAGCCTGGCTGTGGCCGGGGAGGGCGGAGTATAAATATAAATTATTATTATTATTAAGCCATTTGCACGTGTTGCCATGCAACCAGTCCAAGCAGAATGTGGGGACCCTATATATTGAAATGAGCAAAGCAGTGATGTTTTAGGGAGCAGGCGGGGCTCATTACTTGCATCATAGGAGAATACCCAACACAAAACACTGTTGCTGTATGTAGGTTTTATCTTATATTTTGGAAATGTACATGCAGGGTAATTTTTTCCCTTTAATTTTTTGGGGGGCCCGCAAGAGAGTGGGACCCCAAGCTACAGTTTGTTTAGCTTATACGTAAATCCGGCACTGGGTATACCGGCCTATACCCTCGACCCTCAGCCCCCTCCATTAGGACTAAGTCCCCCTCGCCCGTCCTGAGGGAAGGAAGGGCTGCCATTCCCCCTCAGGCTCCCCCTCGCTTCCCCCGGAGTGGGCCCCGTTGGCGCTTGCTCGCGAGTAGGCCTCCTTTTCCCCCTCAGGAGCCGCTTCCCTCGGGCCCGGGGGGCTTTGGGCGACCGTCCGTCCGTCCCTCCCCCCGGCGCCCCCTTACTCACAGCGGATGGTGTGGAAGGAGGCCTTGGGGTGCCTCTCGAAGCTCTCGCCCAGCTGCAGCGGGTGCTCGTCCTTGTCCAGCAGCGGGTTCGCCGAGCCGTTCATGGCCGCCGAGCGAAAAAGCAAGCGCGGCGGCTCCTTGGCCGGCAACAACGACGACCAGGCCCGCCCGGGCCCTTGCGCTGCTTCTCCTCCTGCTCTCCCTCTTCCGGGCTGCCAGGAGGAGGCGGCGGCGGCGTGTGACCGGGAAAGCGCTCCGCGCCTGAGGGGAGAGAGAAGGTAGGCCTCAGCCGCCGCTAGGCCCAGCACAGGCCGCGCTCCCTCGTGGCCGCCGAAGCCCCGAGAGACGCTTTGCAGGGAGGGGAAAGGGAGGGACGCGGCCTCTGAGCATGTCCAGAGCGCCGCAGATTTAGGAAATTATTCTTAATTTGCGCCTTTACGGCTTGGGGAGGAACGCGGCCTCTGAGCATGTGCAGAGCACCGCAGACTTAGGAAATTATTCTTATTATTTTGTGCCCTTACGACGTGGGAGGAACGTGGCCTCTGAGCACGTCCAGAGCGCCACGGGATTCATAAATTAACCTTATTTTGCACCCTTACAGCTCGGGGAGGAACGCGGCCTCTGAGCACGTCCAGAGCACAGCAAACTTAGGAAATTATTCTTATTTTGCGCCCTTACGGCTTGGGGGAGGAACACGGCCTCTTGCCTACGGCCGGGAACGTCCAGAGCACCACAGACTTAGGAAATTATTCTTATTATTTTGCGCCCTTACAGCTCGGGGAGTAAGGCGGCCTCTGAGCATGTCCAGAGCACCACGGGCTTCAGAAATTATTCTTATTTTGCGCCCTTACGGCTCGGGGAATTATGCGGCCTCTGAGCATGTCCAGAGTGCCACAGGTTTCAGAAATTATTCTTATATTGCGCCCTTACAGCTCTGCGTCCTTTGGGGGGGGGACCGCCTGCAGAGCTATTTGGACCCCTGACGGTAGGTTGGTGGGTGGCACTCAAGACCCAAGGAGATGGGGGGTAAAAAGGCAATACTGTAATGAAGCTGCCTAATTTGGGCCCCCTGTCATGGATGCTTTAGTTGAAATGCCTGCCTTGATGCGGGTCAGACTAGATGACCCTTGCGGGTCCCTTCCAACTCTGTGATTCGGTGACTATAGCCGCGCCGAGCGTAGCAGCTTGGGATTGAAATAGGGATGTGTTCTCCTGTGAAGTGGGCTGCAATTGGGGAACGGGTCTAGGAGACCACTGTAAGCAGATGAAAACATTAGCAGGATTTTAACAACACTTGTAACGTAGCGAATATCATGGACAATTTGGAAAGATACAAAATAGGTGTTATGAATAATATGCAGTTGAGAGCGTGTACAATAGGACGCATGGAGCGGAAGGTGGGAAGTCAAGAGATTTGGTGGAATCTCGAAATTACGGATGTAATTTGGATTGTTATAAACTTAATACTTAAGAAACCAAATAAAAATTACTGTAAAAAAAGAAAAGAAATTGGGGGATGGGGAAGGCTCCGCAAGTGAGCTTCATGTGCCCACCACCAACAGGGATGTGTTTTCCTGTGAAGTGGAACAGTAGGCAGTTGATCGGGGCCAAGTTGGGACCATGGATCCCCCTAGCTTTGTGTTTCCAGCTGTTTTTCAGACTACAACTCCCATCATCCCTTGCTAGCAGGACCAGTGGTCAGAGATGATGGGAGTTGTAGTCCGACAACAGCTGGAGAGCCAAGTTTGAGAAACGAAGGGAATGGAGAACCTGCAAGACTCCAGATGTTGTTGGACTCTGGCTCCCTCCCAGCATCCCTGTCAGTGGGGAGTTGGAGTCTGGCAACATCTGGAGGGCCACAGGTTTCTGATCCCTATCCTAGATAAGGGGTTCCCAAGCTATGGTCTGTTTCATTCAGGTGGTCCATGACTTTGCAGTTGAAGACAGGCAACAGCACATCCATGGCATTAAAAACACATATTGGTTTTTAATTGTTTTATTTTTATTGCTCGTTTTGTTTTGGTTTTTTGCATTGCATTTTATTGTGCTGCAGTTTGTGGAATGCAAATTGCAATGCTATAAAATGCAAGATAACTCTAAGGAGTAAAAGTAGCAATCAAAATACAATAAAAAACAAACCTTCACCCTGTGCAGTGCAGCTGCTGCAGCAAACAGATGGAGAAATTAAGTGGTTTGCTAAGACCCTCGTTGAAGGAAAGATGCTTTGAAGGAAAGAAATCTTTAAACACACTGCAGCTAGCCAGCTCCCTCTGGGGTTACTGTAAAATACGCATGCCCACCCACCAAATCGTAAAAACTTGTTATCTCATTTGCTGCCATAACTGTTTTGTGGCTCTGATGGACTCCTTCCATGTACTCTTCCTTTACATTCCTAGATCAAGGGAAAAAAATATTTTATCATCTGGCCTGCTAGGTGTAGTAGTAGTAGGAGAGAGAGCATATTCCAGGTGTGTCGAGCACCTTGATCTTCAGTTTCATATGAAAGTTGGGAAACTACATTCAGATGATAGGAAAACAGTGAGATTATATGGGAAATGAATTCTGGGACCTTGACGTCCTTTCCCATTTAGAATTGGCATTAGGTTTGGTGGTGAGATCCAGACATATGCTTACAATATATATGTCTGTGGCATGGATTAACCTTCAAACAATAATAATAAGTCAAGTCAACCTTTTTATTCGACCGTCAGTCAGAAAAAAGTACATTTGTCAATACACAGTTAAAACATCCAGGAAGATTTTAGAACTTAGCCAACACTAAAATGGGCTAAACAGATAGCCCCATATCAATACAGAACAACAATAATAATAATTTTATTACTTATACCCTGCCAATCTGGCCAGGTCTCCCCAGCCACTGTGGACAGCTCCCAACAGAATATTAAAAACACGATAAAACGTCAGACATTAAACACTTCCCTAAACAGGGCTGCCTTCAGATGTCTTCTAAAAGTTGTACACCAATCTATCCTGGTAGGGATAGATTTCTTCTTGTACCTTGGGTAAGGTTCTCGGAGCTTGTTCATTCTGTTTTTAAAAAAATTCAACTACATTTTCCAAAGGTGATGGTACGGCGCATTTCAAGGGCCCCTTTATCATTTTGTAACATGTCCAGCGAAAGATGAAAAATGCTAACTTTCTCCTTATTGTCCTTCTCAGTCTAGTTCTTTTCTGAACGGATAATTGTGGTAGTTGAAGAATAAAGCAACTCTGAATCTCCAGGGTCCTCCTTAATTAAGATGACCGACTCCAGGCCTCTGCAGGGTGAATCGCCTGTTGCTCAGCTTGATGTGACCATCTCAGCTTGTGAAGACGGGGCATTCCAAAAGAGAGGGCACAGAGCAAGAATTCTTAGCCCCGAAGAAGCCGAAAAACTGGCCAGAGAACAGGTCTTAGTCTCTGACTTCAAACAACAGAAACTAGAGAAGGAAGCACAGAAGAACTGGGATCTGTTTTACAAAAGGAACAGCACCAACTTTTTCAAGGACAGGCACTGGACAACAAGAGAGTTTGAAGAATTAAAAGCATGCCGTGAAGTGAGTTTCATTACGCATGCTAGAGCATCAGAGGGAAAGCAAGAACTACAGTAGAAATGGGGGGGGGGGTTTGTGAGCTGGAAAGCTCTAGCCAATCTTTGTTCCACCTTAATTTATGTAAAATTTTGCACGAATGCAATAGGTACGTAGATGCACCTTGCTGTGTCACTATGGTAAAACTTGATTTGGCAACTCCTCAGATATTTTTGCTGATGCCAGTCGGTTACTTAGCATGCAAAGGTCCTGCTCACATAAACAGAACTTCCCATTTCTGCGGAAATTGTACATTGCAATCCTTTGCACAAATGCTTCATTCAGCTCCAATGACCTCCTTGCTCTAGATGGTTGTGGTGTATTTTATTTAATCAGAATTACATAATATGTCATCTAACAAATCCTAGACATTTTACACGGGAGTCCCTGCAATGATTGCAGGATAAGTCAGTATTAGAATTACTCCCCCCCCCCCAAAAAAAAAAGAAATCAGGACAATAGTATTCCAGATGCCTCCAGTATAGATTACTGAATGACCTGGGAGGATCTGATGTTGACACTAAGTAGGGATAAATCTGGTTAGTGTTTCGATGGGGGACTGCTGGGAATCACAGTATTACTGTAGGAGACATAGCTGCCCATTTTACCCCCACAGAGGTGGTTTGGAACCTAATTTGCTTGGAAGATTGCATCTGTTGGGCAGTGATGATGATGATGATGATTTTATACCCTGCCCATCTGGCTGGGTTTCCCCAGCCACGCTGGGCTGCTTACAGCAGATAAAATATGTAATGCATCACAACAAATGGCAATCTGGGGGAAACCCAGATTCCTATTAGATCTGATTGAGCACTAAAGAACAGTTTTTCCCCCAGGAGGGTGACGGTAGCAGCAGAACAAGGGGAGGTGTGGATAAGCCAGTCTGTTTATACATATGTTTTCATTGTGAAATCACAGTGCATCATGCAGCTTAAATCATAGTAAGAGATGATGTTCTTGTTGTGATTAGTAGTATTTATAACCTGCTCTTAATTGGATATTTCAATTACAGAGAGGGGACAATACTGCTCTGTAAAAAATAAAAAACAACAATAAAAAATATACAAAGTAAATATAACAATGTGTAAAAATTGCAGAACATGTAACAACAGGTCCAGCATATAACATAAATATATGAGCAACTCCATCACAATATAAGCACTCTCCCTTGGTCTGCCACATAAAGAGGGCCCACTCTGTACCAACAGACTCTGTTGGCCTATGAACAACTTAACGCCTTTCACCCCTGCTCTCCAACCCAAACAGGCTGTCATCCTGAATAGCTGCCCGTAAGCATCTGCAACAGGGACGCGGGTGGCACTGTGGGTTAAACCACAGAGCCTAGGACTTGCTGATCAGAAGGTCGGCGGTTTGATTCCCCACAACGGGGTGAGCTCCCGTTGCTCAGTCCCTGCTCCTGCCAACCTAGCAGTTCGAAAGCATGTCAAAGTGCAAGTAGATAAATAGGTACCGCTCCAGCGGGAAGGTAAACGGCACTTCCGTGCGCTGCTCTGGTTCGCCGGAAGCGGCTTAGTCATTCTGGCCACATGACCTGGAAGCTGTACACCGGCTCCCTCGGCCAATAAAGCAAGATGAGCACCGCAACCCCAGAGTCGGCCACGACTGGACCTAATGGTCAGGGGTCCCTTTAAGCATCTGCAACAACAACCTTGTACCCTGTTTTTCCACAGTAGCAACACAGCAAAAACACACACACAAAAATGAAGCACACAGAAGAGGATTGTGCCCTCATGGAGACCCCAAAGCGATGACTACAATGAAGAGTTGCATCCCTTTCTTGGCTCTGTCTTTATTGTAAACGAATGATTTCCGGGGTGATAAAACTTAGCACTGCAATGTGAATATGTGTGGACCTCGTTTCTGAAAACATTGCAGCTTTTTAATGATTCATTTCGCTCTGGAAAGATATATCAAATGCAATTGTTTCTCTCCCAAACAGTTTGAGGATCAGAAACTCACCATCCTTGAAGCAGGCTGTGGTGTCGGGAATTGTTTGTTTCCACTTTTAGAAGAGGATTTGAATATCTTTGCTTATGCCTGTGATTTCTCTCCCCGAGCTGTGGAATATGTAAAGGTTGGTGAGATGTTTGTCTTACTCTCTCCATTGCGCAAGAGGTCGTTGCCTAAATGTTCTTTGAAAAGGGAAAATCTTATATCCCTATTTTTAAAAAGTGAATGATAAAAGAAATGAGGAAAAATAGGAGGATAGATTGTGCCAAAAATTAGGGGTACCTACATATGCTGTGTAGGCTTTAATACACAGCTGTTCCCAATTACTCATTTACACATTTGGTTAGCCCGACATAACCATTTCTGGAGAGTGATTGCTCCACCAGGCTAACCAAATAAAGCTTTTAACTCTTCCTACCTTTGCATTTGATTACATGATCAGTGATGAATACTTAATGTTGAATGCTACAATGTATGGCATTGAGTCCCAGTCATGGTTTTCTTTCTTCCCTATTTCATGTTGAGATCAGCAGGCACAAACACTCCATTAAAAGTCTGTTGTTCAGGGAGGCTGAAGGAACATTCTTTCACCTCTGGTGGACATGCCCGAGGGTGAAGGCTTTTTGGGAAATGATTTATAATGAGTTGAAAAAGGTATATAAGTATACCTTTCATAAGAAACCAGAGGCCTTCCTCCTGGGCATTGTGGGCCAGAGAGTACTAAAGAAAGATAGAACTTTCTTTTTATATGCAACGACAGCAGCAAGAATCCTTATAGCCAAATATTGGAAGGCACAGGAGTTACCCACGCTGGAAGAGTGGCATACGCAACTGATGGACTACATGGAATTAGCTGAAATGACTGGCAGAATCCGAGACCTGGGAGAAGAAGCAGTGGAAGAGGACTGGAAAAAATTTAAGGACTATCTACAAAAATACTACAAGTTATATGAATGTTGAGAATTTGCTAAGTTTTTGGGAAAAACATGCTTCAGTATTGAGATTTGAGAATGATGGAAACTAAGTTATGACTGTGAAAACTTTAAATTTTAGAATATATAATTAGAAGAAAGTACAAAAACATATGAAACAAGGTTGCAATTTGCTGGTTATTTTTATTGTAAAGAAAGCAGGGACGGAAGATCTGGGGAAGTCTAGTTGATTATGAAAAAAGATCTGGAAAAGTGAATTTTCTTGTATAACAATTTTTTCTTTTTTTTTCTGTAAAACCGCTTTTGTTGTGTTATTGACGATGTATCTTGACCTTGGAAAAAAAGCAATAAAAAATATTATAAAAAAATAAAAATAAAAGTCTGTTGTTCAGTTGGAATGTTTATGCGCTGTGCAAAAAAGTAGACATCACCTTGCCAACAAAGGTCCGTATAGTTAAAGCCATGGTTTTCCCAGTAGTGATGTATGGAAGTGAGAGCTGGACCATAAAGAAGGCTGATCGCCAAAGAATTGATGCTTTTGAATTATGGTGCTGGAGGAGACTCTTGAGAGTCCCATGGACTGCAAGAAGATCAAACCTCTCCATTCTGAAGGAAATCAGCCCTGAGTTCTCACTGGAAGGACAGATCGTGAAGCTGAGGCTCCAATACTTTGACCACCTCATGAGAAGAGAAGACTCCCTGGAAAAGACCCTGATGTTGGGAAAGATGGAGGGCACAAGGAGAAGGGGACGACAGAGGACGAGATGGTTGGACAGACTACAAACATGAGTCTGACCAAACTGCGGGAGGCAGTGGAAGACAGGAGTGCCTGGCATGCTCTGGTCCATGGGGTCACGAAGAGTCGGACACGACTAAACAACAACAAAAAAGTAGGCGTCATATGACTGAAAATATTGAATCGGAGGCTTGAAAAGAAATCAGTCACCTTCTGTGCAGAGAGACAGGGTAGCCTGGGTAGCACAAGAGGACAGGGCTCCTGAACCTTTAGTAGCTGTGTAAAAGAGAAATTTCGGCAGGTGCAGCAAAAATGGAAGTCTGAAAATCTTCACAACTACATCAAGTTTTCCATGGTCGACTTTGGTTAAGGCTGGCGTGGCAATAGTCTCCCTTGTTTTTGCCACATAAGTTTCTGCAACCATAATCAGTACATAGCAGAATGTGCTCAGATAAACAGAAGAATATATATATATTCCTATGCTCTTTTATCGTACTGCATATGTTGACTAACCTTAACTTATGTATATCTGTGACATTATAAGGATTACATAAATTGCTTTCTAATATGAAAATGTCAGGAAAGAGATTGTTTCCAGGTTTTGGGGTGCAGACATATCTTCCAATAATTTCAAAAACCGGGGGCAAAGATTCTATTAATCCTTTTTTTTAATTATGGTTTTTAAAGAAAAAGTATTTTTGAATTTTGAAGATTTATAACAAGTCAGTCTAGCATATTTGAAAACAGGTTTTCAAACAGTGATTCTGACCGCTGGTAAGGCTAGTTGTTAATGAGTTCAAAAGCAGTTAGTTCTCAAACGTTTTGGCTACCGAACGCTGCAAACCCGGAAGTGACTGTTCCTGTTTGCAAACTATTTTTGGAAGTTGAACGTCTGACGGGCCTTCCGTGGCTTCTGATTGGTGACAGGAGCTTCCTGCCGCCAATCAGAAGCTGCGCTTTGGTTTCTGAACGTTTTGGAAGTCAAACGGACTTGCGGAACAGATTCCGTTTGACTTCCAAGGTACGACTGTACTAATACTATACTATACTATACTATACTATACTATACTATACTATACTATACTATACTATCTAAAATCTTGATTTAGTGGCATGTTTGTGGTATATCTGTGCCACAAAGGGATAGAAATGATTGTTCTCTTTCTGTTTCATGCTTTCCTGGGGCACTTTTCAAAAAGTCTTCATTTCAGCAAGTGAAATCGGAGCATTTGATTGCAAATGTTTCTCAGGAAAAAAACCTTTTCACTTCATAGCAAAACCCTTTATATGATGCCCAGAGATGCAAAGCATTCCAGTGTGACCTTACCAAAGATGACATTTTGGAAAACGTGCCGTCAGATTCCGTGGATGTTGTGACCTTAATATTTGTGCTGTCCGCTGTTCATCCTGAGAAGATGCATCTGGTTTTGCACAATCTTTATAAAGTAAGTAAGCTTGCATTTTAATCAATCTACCATAAAATCATCAATCATGTCTGCTCCGAAAAGTTGCCACATGTTTGCACGCTGTGGCCCCCTTCCTCCAAAATACATTGGTGCCCAGGTGACCTACTGAAACGCGTAATGAGAAATACGGACATGGGGTAGCTTTGTCAGGGCTATGTGTACCTTCACTAAAAAGTAAAAAAAAATGGAAATCTGGGCAGTTCAAAAGCCCTGTTTTGTTTAATTTCAGCTGTTCTAGTCACTGAGGAAAGGCAACAAGATATGTAGGGCACCAAATGTCTTGTGTATCACTGGGGTTCAATCCCTCTTCTATAATCCTTTACAGTGGTACCTTGGTACTCGAATGGCTTAGCTCCCAAACACCGCAAACCTAGATGTAATTGTTCCTGTTTACAAACGTTTTTCAGAAGCCGAACATCCAACGTGGTTTTCGCTTGAGTGCAGGAAGATCCTGCAGCCAATCGAAAGCCGCACCTTCGTTTTTGAACGGTTTTGGGAGTCGAAGAGACTCCCAGAATGGATTAAGTTTGAGAACCAAGGTACCACTGTACTTGGATAAAACCAGTGCTTTTTTCCCCCCCTAAAAAAAGTTTAGGGGTACTCTCATTTTGACACAAGAAAACCACCATTTTATAATTCAAATTGGGGAAATAAATAGACTAGATGAACAAAAGTACAAAGACTCACAAAATGTTTAGGGGTACGCATACCCCTGCTTCCCCCTAGGAAAAAAAAGCACTGGATAAAACTATGATTGGAGCATTCAGAGAAAAGTTTTTTCCAAGTACCTTGTAATGGTAGGAGTAAAATGACCAGTGTGTTTGATGTGCTTTAAAAACATATCTGAAACAGCTGAGCCTCATGACACACAATATTCCATTTTTAGATGTAGCGCCATGTTTCTGTTTTATAATGTCCATTTCATTTTTGTGTTGCTTATTTGTCAGGTGTTAAAACCAGGCAAATGTGTGCTGTTCAGAGATTATGGCCTCTATGATCATGCTATGCTGCGGTTTAAGTCTGCTAACAAGCTTGGAGAAAACTTCTACGTCAGACAAGATGGAACCAGGTCATACTTTTTCACAAATGGTGAGTCTTTTGGCTTTGTTTACATTTTGCTTCCCAGAACTATTGTATTTTTTTTTCATTTCCTCCCCAGTTACTTTATGAATTGCTTCCTGTGAAACATCTCAAAGTAATTAACAATAAAAGTGTAATCAAAACAAATACAAAAACCATTAAAAAGCCGAATACAAGCTGGGTTTAAAATCTCCACTTGTATGGTCTTGTGGCATTCCAATAAGTATAAGTCATGGGATTCAGTAGTCATTTCATATTGGTACTGTGCATGGGGCTTTTTTGTGCTTCTCTAATTACTTTTCACTATTCCTAAATTCTCTTGAGTCTTTCCTTCCCCATTTTACCTCAAACAATAAAATAATTTTACATCAAATTTCAGTACCCTGTTTCGACCTCCCTCCCTTTCTGTGGTTACCTATCTTTATACGTAATACATTTGTTGCATCTCCAAGTTAAACCTAGTTATTATTTGTCCAGAACAATCAAAATTAGTTTTATATCACTGCACGTCTTTACATTAATCCTGCTAATGATTTGATCTGTTTACAATCATTTTTAAAATATCCAATATGCGATTTCCATTCTAAACTAAAAACACTTTCATCTTGATTTCTTATTCTTCCGGTAAGTTTTTCCATTTCTGCAAATTCCAACAGTTTTTGCTGCCATTCTTCTTTGGTCTCAGGACACTATCTTCTTTCCATCTTTGGGCTAAAATCATTTGGGCTGCCATTGTCGCATACATAAATAAGTTTTTATATTGTTTGGGTATCTCTAGTCCTACTATTCCTAAAAGAAAAGCCTCTGGTTTCTTAGAAAAGGTTATCTTAAACATTTTTTCCAATTCATTATATATCATTTCCCAGTAGGCTTTTAGCTTCTTACAGGTCCACTACATATGAAAAAGGTACCTTCTTTTTCTTTACACTTCCAGCATACATTCAATTCAGATTTATACATTTCTTGCTAATCTGTTAGGTGTTGGGTACCGTCAAGTTCTGTGAGTCTTGGTGATGTGAGTTAGAGGAGAGCGTTGCAGCAAAACCCTACCAGAGCAAAAGAGTAACCTTCAAACTGTACACTGGGGTTCCAGCGATGCAGATATAATGAGGTACACAACCAAATAAATATTGTAGAACTGCTGCTTATGCATAAAAGGCCTTAAATCAAGGTCTGATTGATGTTACAATTTTGGGGAGGCCACTTACCAAATATGGATTACAATTTTGTCCGCTTAAAAGTTCAGCCAGTCAAGTAGGAAAGAACAACAAACTTAATCATGACAATTGTGATTTCTTCAGCACATGAAGTCTAGGGGCTGATGCTTGAGAACTGCCCCAACGCTCTTTCTTGTGACTTTTGAAGTCTTAGTTGCCTGCTGCAAAACCTTCTCGTTACCTGGGGCTTCTAATTGTATTAAAATGCAAAGGCTCTGGGCAGGGCTGGTTTGAGAAGAGGAGCCTGCGTCGTCACACACTGCCATCTCACGTTCGCGCTTCCACCTATGCTGGATGACTGCTTTATCGTTCTTCTCTTCAGATTTCTTGGCTGAACTTTTCCTGTCCGTGGGGTTTGAGCAGGTGGTCAATGAATACGTGCTGCGAGAGACGGTGAACAAGAAGGAAGGCCTGGCCGTGCCGAGGGTTTTTCTCCAAAGCAAATTTCGGAAGCCTCAAAGGGAGACGTGATTTTTGCTCCTGGGCACATGGACTATTTTAAGTTGGCATTTAGATGTTTCACCAAAGGCCTTCCTTTGGTGTTATACCAGGGTGACTGACCCTGTGCTTGCCAAAGCTGCTGTCCGGTTTTCTTCGCTGCAGGTGAATGGCCCGCGGAATAAAGGAACCGATGTGAGCAGCCACTACATCTTGCCGTGACTCAGGTTCCCCCCTCCCTGTCGTAAAGCAAATACATTTATTTTTTAAATCTTGCCATTAGATGGCGCCGTACACCAAGTTTCTGTATCATCTGTCCATGCATCCTCTTGAACAATTAGACTTGCCTTTCCCCCTGTAAATTGTGCCACTTAAATGAATAAGAAATAAGAGGTGGAGGGGAAAGGGTAATGTTTCTGAGCACAACCTGCAGGAGAGCAAGTCAAAACTCCCCTGAATTGTGTCTCTGCTTGTGATTGTTCACTTGCTTAGGCTGTTTAAATGTGTCTGTTGCTTCCAGCTTACAACATCCTGAAGCAGTTTAGTGAGGAAGTCCTGTTTTCAGATGGGAAATCCGACGTTTCATTTTGTAATGTTAAAAAGGTAAAGGTACCCCTGCCCGTACGGGCCAGTCTTGCCAGACTCTAGGGTTGTGCGCTCATCTCACTCAAGAGGCCGGGAGCCAGCGCTGTCCGCAGACACTTCCGGGTCACGTGGCCAGCGTGACAAGCTGCATCTGGCAAGCCAGCGCAGCACACGGAACGCCGTTTACCTTCCCGCTGGTAAGCGGTCCCTATTTATCTACTTGCACCCGGGGGTGCTTTCGAACTGCTAGGTTGGCAGGCGCTGGGACCGAACGACGGAAGCGCACCCCGCTGCGGGGATTCGAACCGCCGACCTGACGATCGGCAAGTCCTAGGCACTGAGGCTTTAACCCACAGCGCAACCCGCGTCCCTTTTGTAATGTTAGCTTATGGGAAATCAATACCATAGAGTTTGTGTAAAGCGACGCAAGCAGCGTGATTGAATGGACAGTGAGCATGCACATGAGAAGTCTAGCCTCTCTCTGATGTACTAGCTATGTAACTGGTAATGGGAAGCATCAAATTGTGCTTCCACCAAAGTGGTGCTGTCCCGGAAGAACTGCGTCAGAACTCTGGTTTCAGGGGAGCTATAGGTCAGTTCTTATTTGACAGATTGGACAGGCTGGTGCCCCCATGTACTCACTCGACCTTTGGGGCCAATTGAGGTTCTGCCCTGAATAAAGCCTATACAGCTTGTTTACTTTCAGCACAAGAAGGTCCCAGAGGAAAGGATTCCTGCCTTTTCAGAAAAGGAACATATCTCTTGTTCCCAGTTGTGTGCTGCAGCACTGAAATGGGACCACAGAAAAGCACTTTGGAAACATCCTTGGCTGTGTGTACTTCATGGTAAAAACCATTAAAACTCAGCACAGATGTGCCGATTTCCATTATCTATTTAAATCTTGCAAATATGGGTCCAGAGCAACAGGTAGTTTGCCAGGTGGGCTGGCAGCACTTTCTAGTTCTCCGTAACAACAGCACTAGCACATGATACAAAGTGCTCTTGTGTGCTGGTCCCATGGGTTAACCGTGAGGCGAGGTCCGAGTCCAGTCCGAGGTCGAAGGTGCAGGATGGAGGTAGTCCGTCAAAGCTGAGAGCAGGGCAGGGAGTTAGGTGAGGTCAGGAGCTCTGGCAGGAAAGCAGGACAGGGTCCAGGCAGGAACTGGCTTCCAACAATGTTGCTCCCGCAACTTGGGACTGGGGCTGGCCGGCTTTTACCTGCCCCGAGGCATAGGGTGGCCCCAGTCCACAGGTGACTCGCCTCTCCTGGCCTGGAGGCGAGCACTCCTCCTGCGGGAACTTAGTTCCCTCCGCCTCTCTGCTCTGAGCCTCTGCAGCTCAGGAGAGGCTGGAGGGGTACCGGACCCAGAGGCAACCTCAGCTTCCTCTGATGGGGCTGAGAGTGGAGCACCTGCAGGCAATGGGTCCTCCATTACCTCAGGAGCCAGAGCAGACTCAGCTGGTGCCTGCACCTGAGGATCCAGCACAGGTGAGGACCCTTCAGGCTCAAGCCCCAGCCCCGGCTCAGCTGGTTCTGGAGGAAGGGAATCCTGTGCAGGCTGGGATTCCTCAGGTTCAGCATCCGAGTCCGAATCCCAGGCCATCACACCTTGTCTTTTATATGCAGGCTAGGATGACGCAGGGCCTAGGCCCTAGGAGATGCTGGCATGAAGGGCTATGAGAAACCCAGCTAGCCTTACGCATGGACCAGCGTACAAATGACAAACTACTGCCGTTTCCTGTAATTCTGCCCTTCTTGCGACCTTTAAGGGTTCTGTTTGTTTTTAATAGTGCCAGCAGACTATTAAAGCCTAAACCAGAAAGATCAAATTGCACTGATTCTGGGCAAAGACTTTTATAAACACATTAAACCTTTTAAAAATAATAACAGCATGGAATATGCTTCGCAGAAAGTCTATGGGCAAAAAGAGAGGCAAGCACAGCTCCTTCTTCAGTAATTCTATGATGAGACTTATATTTGTTTGGCCTTTAATGGGATGGAGAAAGGTCTGCAGTTCTGTCCTCAACAGGTCCCAAAGTCTGCAACTGGGGTAAATTAAATCATTTGCAATTCATATTTGAGTGCTCTGCTTGAGAATGCTTCTCCACCTCCAATAACGTTGGTGTTACTTTAAAGCCAGAAAAAGACCACTTTTAGATTCAGTGTGTGAGTGTGAAGCATAATTTTGTGCTACATCTGGTTGGAGTGTAGGTCAGGCGAAAGGTGAGGTGAGAAGTACATAACGGGGTAAGCGCTTACTCCAAGTAAGGACCTGTTAAATTCTGGCACTTGGGCAAAGACTGGATACATGACTGGCCTCACCATTAGGCCAAGTGGGGCAGTCTCATACAGTGTTACAACCAGAGCATCACTAAAGGGAAGCAAAGAGTTAGTTACTGCAGAATTTTATGGTGAGGGGTGCAATTTGACTACTTTTAATCTTGGGTGCCAAAGTGGAAAGGCACACTGGGGAGGTTGGAGCTTTGGTGAATGAAGGTGTCCATTTTTTTTTCGTTTTTAAATATTTTTTACTGACAGTTTTTGAGATAAAATACAGTAAGAATCAAACTAGACTACGGAATGAGAATAATTTTTTTAAAAAAAACCTAAAGAGAGAGAGACCATATAACACCGGTCCTGAAAGACCTACATTGGCTCCCAGTACGTTTCCAAGCACAATTCAAAGTATCAGTGCTGACCTTTAAAGCCCTAAACGACCTCGGCCCAGTATACCTGAAGGATCGTCTCCACCCCCATCGTTCAGCTTGGATACTGAGGTCCAGCTCTGAGGGCCTTCTGGTGGTTCCCTCCGTGGGAGAAGTGAAGTTACAGGGAACCGGGCAGAGGGCCTTCTCGGTAGTGGCGCCCCCTGTGGAACGCCCTCCCATCAGATGTCAAGGAAATAAACAACTATCTGACTTTTAGAATACATCTTAAGGCAGCCATGTTTAGGGAAGTTTTTAATGTTTGATGTTTTATTGTTTTTAATATTCTGTTGGGAGTTGCCGAGAGTGGCTGGGGAAACCCAGCCAGATGGGTGAGGTATAAATAAATTATTATTATTACTACATGTAGGGCCCTTCACCATATTTCTATCATATATTTATCCACATACAGATCTTCCCATCTCCCACCTGGGAGTCTACTTCTCCCAGTTTCTCACCCTGGAAGATACTGCCTTTCATGCAGGGAGTCCTCTCCTCCAACTTCCCTTTTTGTTGTGCATCCTCCTCAGTCCAAGTTAAAGGACTTCTTTTGTGTCCCTCATCATTTGGAAAAGCCGCCAATTAAGTATCCATTGAGCCTTCAACAGAAGCACCTTTATGTTCTCCACTTCTGTCTTTCTTTAACCCTATTCATTAAAAAAAATCACCCAGGGTTCAGAAAACGACTACCAGATCATTGGTGTTAAAGGGAAGGTGAGTTTCTCCCCCCCCCATTTAAAAATCGTTTCTTTGCCATAGCATATATTTCAAACATTCTCGTAATCTTAAAAACCAGAAAATAACACATCATCTACTCCAATCTCATTAAATGGAAGGAATACATTATATCTGCAACAATTTGAAAGGTTAAAATGTATATTTCAAGTATTCCAAACTATGTTACCCACCCCAAACACTACTCCCCCATGTGCCTCACTACCTGTGTATTCAATAAAATTGCCCCATACTGCATAGAAGTTATCGTTTTTCTTTTGGCCTCTTGCTACCTGCAATTTCCATGTTAGCTTTTCCAACAAAGCTTTGTCTGCCAGACCGCTTCATACTACTTATCCATGTTCAACAGTTGCAGTGTTTTCCATGTTCTGGCTATGGTTGTTCTTGTTGTGGTCAATAAATGGGTTACAAGATCTTTATTTCTAATTCTTGGTGAGTCCTGACTGAACAAATTAAGCAATGCCAGTCCTAGGGACATAGGAATTATCTGCCTTGGAATCAAAGATATCTCTGCAAAGACATTTTCCCAGAATTTTTCTATTTTTGAACACTCCCACCACATATGGCTTTATGTCCCAAAAGTGGGACACCCTCTCCAACATATAGTTGTTGGGTATTATACAAGCTAGACATCTAAAAAACCAACCATGTGTGATTTTGAGGGCACTTTCTCTTGTCATTGCCAAAATTTATATGGGGCTTTGATCCACAGTCCATTCCATGCCTCTTCTGAAGGGGAAGTTTTGTTGTTGTTGTTAATTATTATTATCACAACTGAATTATGTAGAATTCTAAGGTTATTAGTCTACAGCAGGTATTCAGGTCATCAAGGCCAGTTCATTTCTTTAAAATACCACATTTATGGTGCTCTTCCTAAAGCAGTATAAGACACCGTTCATTCCCATTCTCGGCAATTGGATCAAAGCATTTCCCTAGATATTGGGAAGGATAGACACAAAGCACTGGGCTCCTGTTTCTAGCGGCAACCTTGCATTTGTTGTCATCCTGTCTGGTTGCAGAGTAAACTACATCACAAGAGTATTGTGACGTCAGCGCTGCCATCCCAGCCAGACTTTGGAGCAGATGGCCAGGACCCCACCCCACGGGTAGGAGCGTCCCCCTTGAGGTGGCGAGAAAGCTACAAACAACATTCTGCTTGATGGTTGAGTTGGTATGGCAGCTAGTGAGATATGGGGCAAGGCCAGCAATCGCGTATTCACTTGTAATGGTATAAAATATCACTAAATAGGCAAAAAGGAACAGCAGGTTGTTGCAGCCCAATCTGTCTTGTGTTTAGGAAACATTGCACCGAGGCGACACACTTTAAACCTAGATTGCTGTTCATTTAAAAACGCTGGTACCGTTAATATAAATTCAACAGTGTAAATATGTTTTGATGGATGTAACAATGAATTACTGAATGGTTTAGTTTATGTAAAATATGAAGGGATATAGGGTAAGCAAAATGAACCACCAAAAAAGCTAAGTCATTGATTTAGGGTTGTTTAAATGGATATTTTGAAATGTAATTTAGAAAATTTAATTTAAAAAATATATACAAATAAGCCTAGATTGCATTCCAGGGAAGGTGCCTCGATCAAGTTGCAATGGATTTTTTTTTTGTCACGGTTTTTTAATTCTCCCCCACTGAACTCGGCAGTACCGAATCTCACCAGGATAGAAAACTGTCCACAGCGCTTGATGAACAACTGAACTAGCTGTGCACACCTGGGTACCAATTAAGCATGAGTCGTCAGTGTGAAAGCAGGAAAGAAAAGGATGGCAAATGAGTAAGGAGGTGAGATCACCCATTAAAACGGAATCTAAAATATAAGCCTTTCACACAACTATAGCCTTACAAAGAAACCAATTGGGGAACGGAAGGCCTCTGCCTGTTATGAAAAGTTATTGGCTTGTTAGGATAAAGACAAAAGAACTAAAGAAATAAGGAATTTGTTCGGTAAAGACACCTGTTTAGGAGTACACTCTTACCTTGGAAGACTAATGGAATCCATTCCGGAAGTCTGTTCGACTTCCAAAATTTTCAGAAACCAAAGCGTGGCTTTTGATTGGCTGCAGGAAGCCAGTAAAGGTATTTGATTTGATTGTGCGTTTAGCAGAACCTGCTTTTAGCAGAACCTGCTCAGGTTTTCCTAATGCTTGCAGAACAATTTCTACACTACCCAGTGGCCAGTGTTCTCCCCTGCCTGCCACACCATGCCAATGTTATTGGTTAAACGTCTCTTGGTTTGGGACTCAGTGGAGGAAATGAGCCCTGGTGCTACCAAGCTGGTCACATGCCCCAGATAGTTGCGTGCCAAATTCAGAAACAGGCAGGAATTGTGGGGGTGTTTCAGTATCAAGTGGGCCACAGCAAGGAGGGAGAATAATGCTAAAAGCCAAGTCTCTAAAGGCAGTAGAAGTGAAACCAAAGATTGACAGAAACTGAGAGACTTAACACTCGCTTGGGGGAAGCAATCTGTGTTTTTTTAGACATGGGTTTCCCCTGCAGCATTTGTGTTTTTCTTCCTCAAACGCAGACCTCCAAGTGTCCCTATTTTCCAGGCACAGTCCCTGGATTTACAGAAGCTGTATTATTAGGCATGTGACTGCATGTAGAGCTAGCCTACTTCTCACTTTTGCCTTTCATTTGCCCTGTCCCTGCCCCAGAATGTGGCCCTTGGGGTGATCAAGATTAGCCAACTCTCGGTGTTATGTTGGAGGGGATGCCGGGAAGCAGGGAATGATGTTCACATGTGGTGGAAGTGTAAATATATACAATTTTTTTTGCCAAAGGGTGTTTTAAGGAGATAACAGAAATCACTGGGTTAAAGCTGACCGAAAGTTCAGAGGTAGCATTATTATCAATTTACGATGAGGTGGAAGGTTCACAGGCTATGAAGGACTTGCTCACAAATTTATTGACAGCTGCACAAATTATGATAGCTAGGAAGTGGAAGGGGCAAGCAGAATATAAAATGGAAGAATGGTACAAAGAGGTGTGGGATACAGCTATTAATGATAAATTAATGGGTGCCATTAAGGTAAGATGTCACGAAGAGTTGGACACGACTAAACGACTAAACAACAACAACAACAAGGTAAGATGGAGAACATGCAGGAGGAATGATTTTGAGGAGATATGGAGGGTGTTTGTATAATTTGTACTGTTAAAATGGAAAGGGGTCCAACCATCGCAAGAGGTGTTGAAATTTTGGGAGGTTGGATAGTTGCAATGGAATGGTCTCAGTGGTGGGGTGCACATTTTTATTCTTATTTATGATTATTACTTTGTCAAAAAAAATGTAAAAAATGTAAAAAAATAATAATGAATGAGGGTGGAGGAGATTTGCCAACTTCTGAAGTATAGGGAGGTGTAAAAGTGTTGGGGTGTTATGATGCAGGTGAGCCGAGCCAACAGATGGAAAATGAAGCTTTTGCAGAGCTGGGCTTGTGGTGGGGAAGAGAAAGAGTTAATGCAAATTGGCGGGTGTACCGGAACCAGGTGCTGCCCAAGTATCAAGGCTAGGTTGGTAGTCAATGAGGATGCATCTGGCAAGTTGGTAAGAGAAGGAAGAGGGATGGGCAGCCCCCCTGGGACCTACTCTGAGCAGGCAAGAAAAACTGCTCCCTTACCCTTAGGGGGTATTCTAGAGCCCATGTAGAGTCCTTAAGTGGGCTCCCTATCGGTAGGAGAAAATAACAGAGGCCAGCCAGAGTATATTGAGAAGCAAAGCGGCTAGTAAGCCTGATCTTTATTCAAGGAACTATTGCAACAGGATCCCCACTCACCACACACAGGAGGGAGGAGAACCCTGAACAATGGTGCGCAAGCCATTCAAAATTATTTTGAAATTGCCCAACCTGTAGCCCAAGACCACCCCCCAAATCATCATACATACATCACAGAAGGAGGAGGTCTACAGCAGAAATCCTGTTTGCTAGCATACCTGATAATGGTCACTGATTGCATTACCTGGGCAGTCTGGCCATTCTTTTGTGATGGTTCCTGAATCTAGGTCACAGGCTCACAATTATGCCCGTAAGACAGGATTTGTAAGCAAAAAGACAATGGGAAGGCTTTCTCCATTTGCCTCCCTTACTGCAGAGGAATATTTGAGGTCATTGGGAGAGCCAAAATGGCTTCAGGATTGCTCTCCCACACTATTTCAGACACATGGTTCATATCAGGGCCGTCTTAAGCATATCCGGCGCCGTGCTGCAAAGAACCTCCGGCGCCCCATCCCCTGTTTCCCAGAGTTGACCTTTTCCCAAGCACAAGGGGCACAAGGAGAAGGGGATGACAGAGGACGAGATGGTTGGATAGTGTTCTCGAAGCTACCAGCATGAGTTTGACCAAACTGCGGGAGGCAATGGAAGACAGGAGTGCCTGGCGTGCTCTGGTCCGTGGGGTCACGAAGAGTCGGACACAACTAAATGACTAAACAACAACAACAGGGAACCTTTGGCCCAACAACTCCTATCAGTCCCAGCTGTTGTGTGACAACATCTGGAGTGCCTTGATGTAGGGAATATCATTATAACACTTCCCCAAAAATAATAATGATTCAGCAGAATCTTTAAAAACCAAGTTTGAATCAAAGGCTCTAATGAATACAATGTTGGGGGTCTGAGGGATCTCACCTGGAATGGATTCCACAGATGGGTGCCACTAAAAAGCCCTTGTAGTCACCAGCCTGACTGCCACTGGATGAGGAAGCTCAAATACTTACCGGAGCATGCAGGGGGAATGCAGGAGAGCATGCAGGAAAGAAAGCAATTTTATATTCTGACTAACTGGTCCATAAGTTTAATTTTAGATGTATGTAACACATGGCAACCTAAACGTCATTTGTCAAATGTCCATTGTGGCACAACTATAGTTGATCTCTTGAAATAGCATTGGCAGACTGTTTTGTGAAATAATTGAATTTGATCCTTCCCACCTCTCTCTTTCCCTTAGCTTTATGGGGATATAACTGACTGCTTAGCTTTATGGGGATATAACTGTTAAAAAGCAGAGACATCACCTTGCCAACAAAGGTCCGTATAGTTAAAGCTATGGTTTTCCCAGTAGTGATGTATGGAAGTGAGAGCTGGACCATAAAGAAGGCTGATCACTGAAGAATTGGTGCCTTTGAATTATGGTGCTGGAAGAGACTCTTGAGAGTCCCATGGACTGCAAGAAGATCAAACCTCTCCGTTCTTAAGGAAATCAGCCCTGAGTGCTCACTGGAAGGACAGATCGTGAAGCTGAGGCTCCAATACCTTGGCCACCTCATGAGAAGAGAAGACTCCCTGGAAAAGACCCTGATGTTGGGAAAGATGGAGGGCCACAAGGAGAAGGGGACGACAGAGGACGAGACGGTTGGATACTGTTCTCGAAGCTACCAGCATGAGTTTGACCAAACTGCGGGAGGCAGTGGAAGACAGGAGTGCCTGGCGTGCTCTGGTCCATGGGGCCACGAAGAGTCAGACACAACTAAACGACTAAAACAACAACAAACTGTCTGGAACTCCTGCTATGTCATAAAGGGTCCAGTGATATCTGATTCAAAGATATTGAACCATCTTAAACCAAAACCCCAGACACACTCCTTCAGAATAAGCACCACTGACCTTGTCTGAGTGCAACTAGCTGTATAGGACATAGAAAATATAAGTGGAACCTACAACAAAATGCTGCAGTATGGCATATTCCTGGGGCTCCCAGCCACAACCTTTTACAAGCTGCCTTCTATTCCTCTCCCTTTCCCCTAGGGTTATTTAACATTCAATAGGCCTGCTCATTCCTCATCAGGCTGTGTTTTGGGGGGAGCTTGTCCCCTTATATCACCCCAAAGCTTTTTACTTCTCTAAATTTTTTGTTCCTTAGTGCTGTCCTTTTGACAGCATAGCAAACAGAGGTGCTAGCCACTGCAAGCACTTCAGGTTTCTGTTAGAGAGATCTAAGAACTATTTTTTAAAAATTGACTGAAGTGTTGGAGAAGGGGAATGTGTAACTCTCAGCTACACAGCATTTTTAAACAGGCCATTAACGTTTAAACAAAATTAAACAAGGAAGGTTCCCTATTCGCTTATCTTTAACAAACACCGGAATAGTTCCTGGCAGCTGAATGTCAGAGGGAAACAAACCTTGGAATCAGAATTGCTTTATATGTTTTGTTTTTCTGCTACGGAAAGTGCTGTCTCATGGGAAAAAAGCAGAGAGGTTGACACCTTTTCCCCCCTCCTCACAGTAGTATTTCTTTATTTAAAAAAATAATAATTCTTAATTGATTTTACAGATATAGAATTATAACAATACCAATTACATATCCATCTTTAGACATTTCTCTGAATCTCTGGACTTCCTTCCATGGGTCCTATTGTTATCCTTTTCAACTGCATATTATTTCATAGCCCATATTTTATATCTCTCCATTTTGTCCATAATATTTGCTACCTTGCAAGTGCTATTGCAATCCTGCCAATGTTTTCATCTGTTTACAGTAGTCTCCTAAATAAATTATATTGCCCCCCCCCAATTCTTTATTGAAGTTTTGGTCTTCTTGGTTCCTGAACTTTCTGGTCAGTTTTGGCATTTCAGTGTACTCCAACAGCTTAGTTTGCCATTCCTCTCTGGTAGGGACTTTGTCTTCTTTCCATCTCTGGGCTAGTAGCATCTGTGCGGCTGCTGTCGCATACGTAAAAAGTCTTCTCTGATCCTTTGGAATATCAGTACCTATAATTCCTAATAAAAAGGCTTCTGTTTTTTTAACAAAAGTTATTTTAAACATTTTTTCCCAATTCATTATATATCATTTCCTAGGAGGCTTTTATTACCTTACACATCCACCACATATGGTAGAAGGTACCTTCTTTTTCTTTACATTTCCAGCATCTCCAGTAGTTTTTCTGATCTGGCTCAGATGCCTGGCCCTGAAGTCATTCCCATCCTACTCGTTGGAAACATGAAATGAACACGCGTGTCAATTTCAACGATGTGCACGTTAGCTGCTTAAAACACAATGAGATCATTCCCTCCCACTGTGTTTTGAGTCGCCATTTGCAGGATACTGTTCACACCAGAGGGGTGGAATGGAGATGCCTTTGACCAGGCATAGGCAAACTCGGCCCTCCAGATGTTTTGAGACTACAATTCCCAGCATCCCTGACCAATGGTCCTGTTAGCTAGGGATGATGGGAGTTGTAGTCCCAAAACATCTGGAGGGCTGAGTTTGCCTATTCTTGCCTTTGACCGATGTACATTACCAGTTTGGTTTCTGCATGCCAACAACCCCCTCCCCTTTTTCCTGCCCATGAAGCTGTCACCTGTATCTCCCAGTAAGGGTTAGGGATTTTTTCCCTATAAAAGGTTTGTTTAGTGCAGCTAACAGTGAGCAGAATTTGCAGTCTGTGCCATGCCACCCATTCTCTCACATGTGCGTGCAAACACATAGTGAACAAGGAAGCAATTCTCAGAGGGTCAGTCCAGAACTCAAGTGTGGTCCACTATGTGCTGAGAGCCAGATGACATTGAGGGCCGCATAAAATTGGGACGAGGGCCACACACAACCGCAGGTCCTCACCCCAACACTGCAGGCAAATCTGTCCCTAGTACAACTTTTCCTTATTTCTGATTACAGTGGTACCTCGGAAGTCAAATGGAATCTGTTCCAGAAGTCCGTTCAACTTCCAAAAGGTTTGGAAACCAAGGCAAGACTTCTGATTGGCTTCCAAGGCGAAGCTTCCGATTGG